ATTTAATCCGCGTAAGAAGCTAGTTTTTAGATGAGCCTCGATTGAATTTTGAAATTCTACACTAATTTCGCCAATCTCTCTTTTTTGAGCGTTTAATATGCGCTTTCCTAATTCCCGGACTCGATTCGCATATATGGCCACTTTTTCATCTTTCTTTTGACATAAATAAGCTAAACGTCCCTGGGCTTCGTAAACTGTTTCTCTGGGATCTTAAAACTTCTATTACTTAGCTCTTAAAAATTCTATTAATTCGCGCATATTGTTAACAATTTTTTCTAATATTGATCGGTGTGCGTCCCTTTTTAACTTATTCCTTATTGCTCTTTTTAATATATTTTCTTGTGTTGGTGCGATCATGCTCAAGGCTTCCTCACAACCCTCGACGAAATAAATGAATGGAATGTTTCCTCCATCATAAGTAGGCACTGCATCGAGTGCATCTCTGATTGAAAAATGTACGAAATTACCTTCTGTTAAAAGTCCAATCCCTTGATTATCGATTTATCCATTTTGCTGTTGTTGTTGCTGCTGCTGCTGTCGTTCAATGGTTTGTTGTTGTTCCATTACCATTCTTCGTAATTCAGTGATATCCATATTGGCTTGATTAGGGTTTTCTATTGCTGATTCTTGATTTGATCTTGACGGAGGAGGACTTCGCCCTAATTTTGGCATTTACACTTCACTGTTTTCTTTTTATTATCACATAAACTTTTAGTATCACACAAACTTTTTAATGTCCCGCCGCTGTCATCAAATTTTATGTCACGTCTTAGTTGTTTAAAACGTGTTTATGTTGTCCCTTTTGGGTCAATGGATTTAACCACTTTACCCCGGGATAGACAAGTTCGTGTGATTGTGAGTGAGTAAATGTGTAAACGTATGTGTGTGTATGTGTAAATTTAGGCGAATAAACTAAAATAGTGATTTTACTTACTGATTCAGCTTTCGTCTTTCCTTTAAAGTATTTTAATTATTTTGAAACGCTTTCCGTTCAATGGTCACAGAGAGACTGAGGAGCTTAGGATTGGACTCAAGAGGTTCGTGGACGAAGGTTTGGGAATATGAGTAAAATGTAACGCGACGCTTAGGAATCAGTCAGAGGATATGTTAGGAAAACAAACCTTTATCTATCTTATAACTTATTTACGATTTTTAATGTTTTATCTTAATGATCCAATTCTTACGTATATTGTTTATGTGATTGGTTTTAATTGATTGATTTGCTGAATTAAAAGCTAAAATCTAAAACTGACTTTCTAAAACTTCTACTATATAATCTTTATTGGTTCCCCTTAGGGTTACAATTTTATACATTCTGAACTCTTACCACCTCATTTACATTAACCTTATACTAATCTTACATACTAATTCACCGCCTTTAGCCTATACCCTATCCTGCTCCTGCAGATCCCCCACCCTACACACACACACACACACACACACCCAGTCCTAACCTATTTACCCTACCAGGACCCCCATTTCCGGTTTCTGTCATGAGTCCTCTCCATTCCTCTCTTCCACTCTCTCATTCGTACCCTCACTTCCCCCCATTCCTTCCCCTCTCCCTCCCTCCCTACCCCTCTCAACTCCTCCAATTTCCTCAGCCAATCCTTCCCTTTTCCATCCTCTCCCAATACCACGCCCCTCATTTCTTGCCATCCCTTCACCTCCTCCCATCCTACACATTCCTCCCACACATGTTGCCACGTTTCTTTCCCACACCCACACAATATGCATTTCGTCCACTTTTCTCCTTCCCAATATCTACCACCTCTCATTCCATTTCCCAGCCTATACCTTGCCACCCTCTGCCACCTGCTCTCCCCCATCCCTTTTTCAAATACCGTGGCACTCCCTCCCCCTTAATCCATTTATAATCCTCATTAAATCTTGATTCCAATATTTTTTCCTTTCTTTCTTCTCTCTGCATCTCCCTCACTTTCGATATCATCTCTTCCATTCCCCTCTCTTCTTTTCCCCCACTCCTTTTCCTTCATCCCTCTCTCTTCTCTGAATCTTTTCCTTTCCTCCTCCCAATCCGAGCCCTTACTCTTCCCTTACTCTTTACTTCTTAATTTAATTTCCCGCCAACACCTTCTGGCCAACTCGCTCCCTCTTCCCTCCTCCAGCCTTAATTCAAATCCTAATGCTCTTTTCCCCACCCTTTCCCTTAACTTTTCTCTCTGTACCTCTTCTCTGACCATATAGCCCGGTATACTCCATTCTACCCCCAACATCCACTTCAAATATCTTTCCTGCAATCTCTCTAGTGCTTCCCTCTCCTTCCACCCCCATATCTCCACCCCATACCCAATCACTGGCCATACCAGCGCGTCAAACAACCAGCACCTTCTACCTCAATCGCTCTTAAACCTCCATTTCCCCATCCCCCATACTTTTCTCATCACTGCTGCCCCTCTCCTCATCCTTCCTCTTACATGCGCCTAATGCCCCCCATTGCTTTGTACTACGTACCCCAAATATGAAAATTCTTCTACTTCCTCTATCATCTTCCCTTTCCATCTCCAATTCATTTTCCTTTTCCTTCCCCCTCCCTTCTTAAACCTCATTATTCTTGTTTTATTTACATTTAGTTCTAGCTCTTTCCCATTTAAATACCTTTCCAATCTGGCCAACATGCATCTCATTCCATCCTCCTCCTCCGCCAACAGCACCATGTCGTCCGCATATGCCAGCGAAAAAATTTTTTCCTTTCCCAGTCTTACTCCCCCCCCATCTGCCCCTTTTTCAACTCCTGCTCCAGATCCGCCGTCAACAAATTGAACAGCATTGGGCTTAATGGACAGCCCTGTCTCACTCCTCTTTCCGTCCAAAAACACTCCCCCAGATTCTTCCCTACTCTCATTCTATTCCTTACCTCCCTTAACACATCTTCACACCTTACCACTAGTCCTTCCCTTACCCCTCTATCCCTCATTGATTTCACTAGCGTCTCTCTATCCACGGAATCAAATGCGGCTCTCAGATCCATGAAAAGTGCAACCATTTTCCCCCCTGGCTTGCTGACCTGCCTATTTATTAAATAATTTAACACTATATATTATCCATAGTTCCTAAACCCTTTCTGAATCCAGTTTGATTCTGCGGAATCATATCCTTTCCCTCCACTTCCTCTCTTAACCTATTCGCTACAATCTGTGCATATACCTTGTATAATGACGTCGTCAATGATACCCCTCTGTATTCCTCCACCTTTATGCCCTCCCCCTTCTTCATAATCGGAACTATAATTCCTTCGTTCCATTCCTCGATCCATCCTTCTCCCTCCCAAATCCTGTCATAAATCATCCATACCCAGCGTTCCATTTCCTTCCCTCCATATTTCCACACTTCTGCCGGAATCCCATCAACCCCTACCGCCTTTTTATCTTTCATCCCTTTCAGCACCTCTTTCACTTCCTCCCATCTTAATTCCTTCTCCTTGTCCTCTTCCCTTCCCTCTCCCAATCCTCTCCTTACTCTCCCATATACTCCTCCCAGCATGTCCCTGAAATATGTATTCTAATCCTCCCTACTTATCCCCTTATTCACTCTATTCCTCTTTCTTGCTTTCCCCACCAGCTCCCACACCTGCCCCTCTGTTTTAACATTCCTCAGCTCTCTTTCCCACCTATCATTTTCCTCCTTCCTTTTTCTCTCTGTTAATTCCCTATACTCTATTCTTTCTTTTCTATATAATTGCCTACAACTCTCCCCTCTTCTCCATCTTTTTAGCGCCTTTCTCAGTTTCCCTTTCTTTTCTTCACACTCCTCATCCCACTATCCTCTTCTTATTCTACCCCCCCTCTTTTTGTTGCCTTTTTCCAAAATATCTTTCACCTGCCTTCTCATTTCCTCCCATACTTCTCTCACCTCCCCCTCCATCCTTGGTAATTCCCCTATCGCCTCCCTGAATTCCTCTTTCCCTTCATCTGTCCATATCCATCTGCTCATTTCCCTATTCCTCCCTTCACTTTTCCCCCGCCCTCCCTTAGCTCTTGCAATCTTCACTACTAAAGGGTGGTGATCTGAATCTACGCAGTCCTCTACCACTATTCCGCTTATCTTCTCCCTTGTCTCCATGCTTCCCAATACGTAATCTATAACTGAATCCCCCCTTTCCCTTGTAAACGTCAATTCTCCCATCCTGTCTCCTTCTATATTCCCATTAAAAATTGCCCACCCCATCTCCTCTATCCTTCTTATCAAGATCCTCCCTTTACTATTTATCTTTTTATCTATGGATTTTCTTCCCCCCTTCTCTTCTTCCCAATTATTTTCCTCTACTCCTCCACCTTCTTCTCCTGTTCTAGCGTTAAAGTCTCCTCCTATTATTGTTCTTACTCCGTCCCCTTCCTCCATCCACTCCCTCATCCGCTCCAATTTCTTATCCATGTCTCCGTTAATATATACCCCCACAATCCTCCATTTCTCCCTATTTAACTCTACTTTCACCCCTATTAACCCCTCTTCCTCCCTTGCCACCACTTTCATCACCTTTACCTCCCTCCTGATTCCCAGTATCATTCCCCCCATCGCTCTCCCTTTTTTGTTCTTTCTTCTCGCTAGCTGCGCTTCCCATTTATATCCCTTTGGTAAGACCTCTTTTACTCTCTTCCAACCTTTATCATCCAACCATGTCTCACTCAATATAATTACATCCCATTTCCTGACCTCTTTCCAAAAATCTTCCTTTTTGTTAGTAATCCCCGCAACATTCTAAGAAGCCACCTTATACCTTACCTCCCCTTTTCTTCCCCCTCCTCTAATCCACTCCCTCCCTCTTCCTATTTCCTATCCCCATCCCCCCACCTTTATACCCTTTTCTTCCCTCTCCTTTAGTTCCCCTTTTGTCTTCCTCCCTTCTCCCCCTCCCCGTCTCTCCCTTCCCCCAGCATCTGAACTTTATTCACTATGACTCTTTCTTCCCCTCCATCTCTCCTTAATTCACCCCTCATTTCATTCCATGCCCACCATTCTCCTCCAATCCACGCTTCTCCCTACCCGACCCTCGCCTTGCTTCCCTTCCAACCCCTCTCTAATGCCACTCTTCTGGCATTCCATCTAATCCTCCTTTCTTCCCAAGTTAGATCTTCTTCTATCCATACATCTTTGCCTTTCAGCTTCCATTTGCTCTCCAAAATCCTCCTTTTAACTTCTTCGCTCGTCATTCTTACAATTACCATCTCTCCTTTCTCCTTCCTGCCCGCCTCTATTTTCCTTACTTCATCTATTTTACCTTTTACACCAACTCCTAGCTCTTTTAGTATCCCCTCCACTCTTTCCTTCATGTCTCCTTCACCTCCTTTCACACCCTTCAAGAACAAATTTTGCCTCCTGTCTCCCTTCTCTTTCATTTCCCATCTTTTCTTTAATCTCTTGACCCTATCTTCCCACTCCTGCATTTCCCTTACCCCCTTAAATCCACCTCCCTCTTTTTCTGATGTTCCTTTCCTCTTTTCCTCTCCCTCTTTTCTTTCCCATTTCCATCCTTCCAATTCCCGCTCCAACTTTTCAATTCTCCCCTTTACTTCCTCTCTTTCCTTGTTCCATCTTTCCTCTCTCTCCCTCAACTCCTCCTTTATCTCCTCCACCTCCATCCTCATCGCTTCCTTTTGCCCCTCCGCTTCTTTTCTTATTTTCTCTCTTCTCCCTCCTAATCCCTCTTTAATTTCCCTCCTTATTTCCTTTAATATCTCTTTCATTTCTTCCTTCATCGCCCTCCCTTCCGGCGATCTACTCGTTTTGCTGCTTTTCTTAAAAATATCTGCTACCTCCCTCCCCTCCAACGATTCCCTTCCTAGCATCTCCCTTTTTCTCTTCTGACTTTCTACTATCACTTATGCTATCACTCCTCCCTCTACCTTCTTTCCTCGCAAAGCCATCCATCCTGCCCTCTATACTCTTTGTCTTCTATATTCTCCCGTTCGAATCCTTTCTATATCTTCCCTATACTTCCTGCTCTAGTGACTTTCACCGCGTACCGTCTTGCCGATACCAAAAATCCCCACTCCCCGCTAGCTCTCTTCTCCCTTCCACCGTTCTTTCTTCCACGGAACGTCTTCCTAACCTCACTCTACTACTCCTTTCCACGTTACTCCTCCCGGCTTCTCTCTTTTCCCCTCCACCTCTCTTCACTCCCACGCACTCCACACACTCTCCCCTCCCCTCTCACACCCACACACTGTCTCCACCTCACTCACTCTCTCACAGATGCACCTCACTTTCTCACCGAAGACTCACGAGCTCATACACCTTCGCCACCGGAAACGGAAGTCCTCTAAAACTTCTACTATTATTACTCAAAAACTGACTTACTAAAACTTCTACTATTACTACTCAAAAACTGACTGACTGATTGATTGATTGATTGATTGTGTGGGCAGTCGCACCCGTTTTTATAGGCAGGTGGCGAGATACTCCTGCGCGAATTCTCACCACCTTTTAGTAGAAGGGGAAAGAGGCTTCTCACGACATGAGCAATAATCAATAGTTAGATTTTGACATCTTATTATCAATCCATTGTTGATCGACCACCCAGGACATTTATTGCATTCCTGGTGGTAACAGAAGGTGCACTTGACCGAAATGAAGATATGTTACGTTGAACGTAACGCCGGATATCGCTTTCGCAATGAATCTGCTCAGTCGTTTTAAAGCAAACCCAGGCAAGCAACATTGGGAAGGAGTGAAGCAATTCATTCGCATATCATATCTTAAAGGCACTATCAATAGTAGTATCATCTATAACAAGGTATCCAATAATACAAGATCTCTCTTTACGACATATAGTAATGCCGACTGAGCAGGCGATCAGAATGATCGTAAGTCAATCAGCGGTTACATAACTATGATGCACGGTGGACCAACTACATGGGCTTCAAGAAAGCAAGAATGCAATGCGTTATCCACTCTTGAAAGTGAGTATATTGCAGCAGCATTAGCCGTCCAAAAAATAAAATGGCTACGAAGACTAACATGACATCATTGGAGGACAGGGATGGAATAGTCGAACTAATGTACGACAATCAAGAAGCCATACACTTCACCTAGTCTGGGCAACATAGACGAACCAAACATATCGACAACAAATTTAATTTTGTCAAGGACGAAATACAAAGCGGACATATCGAGATTGTAACGATCCGCATGTTATCGCCCTCCTCGCGTGATAAACAAATACGAAAGAGCATGCAAGCCGCGCGGAGTAACATACGAACGTTACGAAAAGCGCCGAGGAATCGCGACAAAGACCGAAGTTCGCGAACAAGCCAAATAAAAGACCACACGGTAGAGACAGAACTCACTCTGATCTGAAGTTAGTCGCTCATCGGGACCTCTTCTCTGAGATCGACTCCCAGAGAAACAGAGCTCTCGATGCCGCTTCTAACCCACTCAAGGCTTTAGGATCTTAGTGTGGCGGATACGCCACAGATCCACGCACCGTCGACACATTGAGGATACTTGTTTTCGACACCGCGTCAAAGCGTCTAAGCATCTCTATAGTTTGAATACACACTCGAGACCATCAGGACACGCCGATACGCGTTCCTGAGACCACCACTGGTCGCCCATAGCGTAGATGCACGCTCGAGACGGAACCATCGTACTTCTTCCTAATAGCGTAGATACACACTAGGACGAGGTCGCTCATAGCGTCGCCAGAGCGTAGATACGTGCTCAGAACGACACCGCTGTTACATTCTTCATAGGGTAGATACACGCTCGACACGACACCGATCCTACCGTATCTATAGTGTGAATACAGGGAGGGTCCCGATTGCCCACAGTACGATTGACCACAAATTGTAATGATTGGTTCGATCTGGTAATTTACTAGATAATTCTTAACATCGGTTGGTTTATGTGCAATCGTATTGTAGGCAATCGGGACGCTCGACACCAACAGCGTCGACTCAAGAAACGACCGACAACACTGGTCGATTGTAAATAGATTTATTTTAATAAACGATGAACAACTGAAAGCGAATCCACTGCATATGGTCTTCTTACGCCTATCTTGAACCTTGACATATTCGACAAGCTGAATCCGGCACCGGTTAGGAAAAACTGTTACAAGATAAAGTACATACAAGAATCAGTTGGCAGATGTTAATAAAAAATCTAATCAAAGAACGGCTTAATTATTTAAAGGATTAGATATTATTAATTTGAGCTAATTAAGTAAGAGTATTGGATGATGTTAGATATAACATATAGTAAGTTTTATCCTATTGCTGTAGATGGCTCCACACCATTGCATAGCGGCAGCTAATTCGTGTGCGACATGTTCTTTGTATATCTGTTCATGCCATTTTATTTTACTCTCTCTCTATTGTAAGGGGCCTGTTTGTTTTGTAACAAGTTATTTATAAATATATTCTATATTATAAATATATTCTATACTATAAATATATATTGTTGCGCCCACGCTTGGGATCCTTACGGAATCGATCTTCGATCTACAAGAGTTGGTCAGCTAGCAGCTGACAAGAGAATGTGTTTTCATTTTTCAGAAGCATTTTTAGCGATAATAGAAAGTTCAGAATAATAGAAAGTTCAGAATAAGAGTCTAAGAAAATACCCGATTTTGCAACACTTGCCACATTTTTGGCGAGACACAATGGCACTCGAAAGTATAGTGGTTCAAATGTTATTATTGATGTTGCTAAATCGACGAAACGTGTCGTGAAAAGAAAGAGAGAGAATAACACGAGTTCTCGTGTACGATGGACGTGTGTTTGATATAAAAACGACGCGCGAGATTGATCAGTTGTGAAACAGCATTGTATATATAAAGTTAGGAGATATTAAATTGAAAGATTCGTTTTATAAACGCGAGTTATTTATTCTGGTCACGCGAACGAGTGCAACATTTTGGGGGCTCGTTCGGGATAAAACATGAATGCGGTGTGGACGGTGTTCGACGAACGTGTGATTATATGAGATGATCAGCACGGGAATGACTTCGCTGGCCCATTCTCCTCAAATGCGGACGCGGTCACAGACGTTAAGTTTGCGGGCTGCTGGAGAGGCGGTTCCCGAACCAACTGCGGAGGCCCTTACGATTCAGTCCGCGCTTGAAGAAATCCGTTTGCTGCGTGAGGAGCAACAGAGGCAGCGGGACGATTTTGAACAGCTTAGTCGGAGAGGGAGAGAGGGAGAGGTTGGAAAACGTGAAACACCACATCCACAAAATCCAGGCCAGTCACGTTTAAATTTCGCAAATAATATTAATATACCCAGAAACAGTTTTGGCTTTAAATTAAATCCTGACATTTATGATGGAGAAGTTTTGTTGCGCAAATATTTAATTTAATTTAATTTAATGGCGAGAGCTAATTGATGTGAAAATTCAGAAAGGTCGGCAGTTTTAGCTTCTTGCTTAAGGGGAAAGGCGCGTATGATTTTAGACGGACTTAAAGAAAATGAAAATTTAGTTTTTAAAGAGCTCGAAAGAAGATTAAAATTACAATTCGGAGACGAATTTTTGGGCCAATCTTTTTATTCACAATTTATGAATCGGAATCAAAAAGGGGAAGATCTGCCGACTTTTGGAGCAGATATAGAACGATTATCGAGAATAGCTTACCCCGAGTGTAATTATGAGGTAAGGGATAAAATCGCCTGCGCACAATTTATCATCGGATTGTCAGAAGGATTTGTAAAAAGGACATTACAGTTAGAGGGGGTTTCTTCGTTGTGTAAGACTATTGAGAGAGCAATGGCCATAAAAGTCATTCAAGAAAATAGTTTTCCGCGTAAAGAATTTAATGAAAAATATTTTAACAATAACAAAGAAATGAAAGTAAGAGAAAATAGAAATTTTGAAAAAAATAAGAAAAAGATAAATTTTAAAACAAGGAATGGTCGTAGGGAGAAAGAATGTTGGCATTGCGGAAAAAATGGACATTATCGGTCGAAATGCCCCTCTCTTTCGGCTGAGAAAAAGAGAAACTGTGGTTAGCCGAACTTCGCGGGGCGAGTTCGGTAGTTAGATGGAAAGCCCCATCAGAGGTGTCTGTTAGAAGTGTAATTATTAATGAAAATAAAATAAGAATGATTAATAGTAATAAGGTAGATAGTTTTTGTTTTCGTGGTCATGGTTATGAATGTAATTTTAAAATAGACACGAGTTCCGATGTTACCATTTTAAGAAAAGATTTGGTTAAGTTAAATAGACAGTTAATTCCTATAAAAAAAGGTATTTTAAAATATTCTACAGGGGAAGTAGTTCCAGTAACGTTTAAAACTATAGTTAAAATTGAAATTGGGAAGTTTATTTTGGATTTTCCGGTGTATTTGGCCGGAATAAAGGACGATTGTATTCTTGGAGTAGATTTCTTGTCTAGAATCAATTTAGAGGGAATTTTTGATTCAAGTTTTGGAGAAAGTTCGGAAGAGTTTATTTGTTCAAGAATTTTCAATTCGAATAAAGAAATTCGGAAGCTGTTTTGGTTCCCTTGGTAGACGATATCCTCAACATCTCCTCCCTAAATTGTCGGGACGACAATTTTTTTTTTGAAGAGGGGGGCAGTGTTGCGCCCACGCTTGGGATCCTTACGGAATCGATCTTCGATCTACAAGAGTTGGTCAGCTA